TTAAAAAGATTAGAGAGGCTAAAGAAACAAACGAAATAATAAATGAATGGGCTAGTTATAGATTACCCCTTGGATATAAACTCGTATGTAAAATGTATTGCTTATACATAAAATAATTAAATTTAAGGATTACATTTTTGTAGGTGGATATTGACTTTAAACAACTTATCAAATATAATAGTATGATGGTCGATTCATTTGATGATTCTTACCAAGATATTATGAATATTATAGAAAAACACAATAAAGACCGAGATAGCAAAATACTTGTAGAACAGCTTTCTCAAAGATCAGACATTTGTCAAAGTAATAATACTTTATTATAAATATAAATCAAAATATTTTAGCAGTTTAATAAAAGGATATTTTAGCATTAAATTAATTATTTTCTTGGTCAGGTGGAAAAAATACAGCATTCTTCTATCTATTAAGCTCGCTTTTCGTGCCAACGTCGAGAAAAGTGACGAGAGATGAAAATGGAAAAAAAAATATCATTAAATATTCTATAAAGGACTCTCAAAATTCATTAATTAGTTTCCACGAGACAGTTGACCAAGCTGAAGCTTATATCGCATTACTACAAAGTAGAAATCAGCCAATACAACCATTCATTTTAATTATTGGCACGATTTTAAAACCACGAGATATATTATTATATTTTGATGCCATCAAGTATAAAATTTTTTCAATAATAAGAGCAGTGGATGTCTGCTTTAAGATATTCCATGTTTTTAATTTAGAATACCCACTTCCATCATGCGCTGTCTGGACATTTATTCAACAATATTACTACAAATTATTTTTAAAGAACGACTACTCCCATCAAACAGTAAAACAAGTGCTACATGATCTCAACAAAATAGTAAAATAATATTATTATATTAATATTATATTGAAAAATCCTTTTATTTTTTCACTTTATATTTTTCTTCTTTTCATTTGTATTAATTATTTGTAAATTATTAATTTTTATTTGATTATTTAAAATTAATTTTACATCCAATGTATAAAGTTTATACTATAAACAGATTGTAAGCTTTCTTAAAATTCATTAAAAATAAAAGGTGATAAATACGCCGTTTCAGTTTATATTCCATATGTCTATTTAAATACACATGTGTAAAGGTTTTATTTATAATTTACTATTGAAAAATTAAAAGTTGTTCATTAAATTATTTTTAATATTATAAATACTACACAATATATATATTAAATAACGTGTTTATTTAAGTAAATTATTACCATAATTAAGATTAAATTTATAATTTAATATGGGATTTTATTTGTACACTGGTATGTTAATTTAATAAAAATTCATTATCATATTGAAAAAAATTTACTTAATTCTTTAAAAATTATTTCATCACCATGAAAAATTATTTATCAAAGTGATTTAGATATACAATAATAATTCGTCATAAGTACGATGAATTTATCAATATGACAAAGTTATACTTATTATATTGATAGAGTATTTTATTATTTCAATAATATCATCATTGTTATAATGATGAACAAACCACTACAATTTTTCTCTATCATATTGATAAATATATCATAGGTTCAATAGTAATGATATATTTATCAAATTGAACGATGAATTTATTATATAGATCGAGGTTTTTCTCTGAGTGTATGAAAGAACACAACTTGGTAAGATAGAATAATCCTGTCTTATTCAATAGTCACTCAGTTGTGTGACCTGTGGTATTGCAATAAAATCAAAAACAAACTGGCAATGCTGCTTTCATAAATCTGAAAGACAGAGCATTAAAAACGTTCTTAATGCTTATGAACACCACGTTGCCAATTTGCTTACGAACTGTTCTTTTGTTTGAATTTGTTATTCTTACTACTAGTGGCTTACTACTCGATTGATTTCAGTATTAAACTTCTCCATCGAATTGATAGTAATCAATGAATTTGTCGCCGCTTTGAAAATATTTGTTTCATCTGATGAAAACACGGTTGTTAGAACTCGTTGTTCAAATATACTAAAATTATTGCTATTAATAGACCGTCTGGTTGAGTTATTTTTCCATTTGTTATTTATCGCCCATTAGTATAATAAATAAATAGCATTTATAAAATGTGTCTTATGACGGCTATAAAAATTTTGAGTACAAATTATTCAAGCAACACTTATACTATATTATAGTTATAATTATTTGTTCTACTTTTAGCAGAAATTGTTGTTGTTTGATGGACGTTTAAAATTTTATTTGAGATTCTATATTTGTTGTAATCTATATGTTAAATGGATGTAAAAAATTTTATTTATACTTTTATTTGAGACTAAATATATGTTGTAATTAATATTAATTTAATCAGTTTTTCTCTATATTAACTTTTGATTTAATCTTAAAAAATATAAATAATTGTTAATGAAATTGTGAACTTAATAAATGTATAAAACTTGCTTGAAATATTACTAAAAATATTTATTATATGTTTATATATATATATATATATATACTGAGTGATTAACTGACTATTCCTCACGAATTTTCTTTAAAAATATTAGTGTTATCATATGTGTAATTATTTTATTTGTTATAAATCTATGTTGAGCTACTTGACAAGAAAAATAAAGATCCCATCTTCATCCCTCAACACTCAAATCAATATCAACTTTAGTTTTTCAAATAGCAACCATTTTAATTTTTAATTAATCTTGTTTAGCATTACAAAAATCAATTTTAATGAATTATAAACGAGACATCACTATTTAAAGTTTAGGGGATTTATCAAATAAAACAGTAGTCGGGTAAATACAATAACATTAATATTTAGTGTACAGAGAAGAATTATCGGTATATTGTACCGCGACGTAAAATTTGCGCATCTTTTATAAATTAAAGTGAGTAGTACTCACGTTCCCTAAACTTAAATGAATCATAGTTCGCTGATAATTGAATAAAATAAAAAAAAAATTTTAATACTAAATCTAATCTGATCATATATAAAAAAACCCAGCACAGGGGGGTCGCGGCACAGTGGTGACGTGGCATAGTTGGATCAAGTAAATGATATCTGACAGTGATTAAAATCACTATCAAAAATAAACGCTTCGATGCAAATCTTTAGATAGTGTTTAATTTAAAAAAAATTGGTGTTTTATTCCAAAAGCTACTTGATCTGCTGGTTCCTTATTAATATCT